AAGATGATGATAATAATAATAATCATACTAATAATTATAATAATTATTAAGGAGAAGGAGTGTTCTGTTGCGATACGCCAGTCGTTATGTACAGGAAAATTTCTATGTGCTAAACGCGTATTTCAAAAGTGTCATTTTTTTTTCTTTAGTATTATTATTATTATTATTATTTTTATTTTTATTAATTCTGACGAATAAAAAAAAAAGATCCCTATGAACTTTCATCAACAGATCTGTGCGAATGTAAGCAAAGATAAAAAAGAAAACATAGTGCGTGAATGAAAACAAAAAAAAATATCCTTTTACCTATAATATATCCTCATATATATATATATATATATATATATATATATATATATACTTTTGAAATACGCGATTACAGTGCATTGCGACACCGTTTTCTTTCTCACTTGCTCGTTTTCTCAATTTAATCTAACTCACTCTGTCTCTCTCATACATACATACATACATACATCTCTTACATACATTTTTTTATATATAATATGTATACACACCTAACATTATGTATCATTAAAGATTCCATTTATTTTTATATATATATATTTTTTTTTTGTTTTATATTTGTATTCATTTAATTATATATATATATATATACCTCTCTGTAACATAGAATATTGTACATTATACGTGTTACACGTTGTGTCGACTATCTACACGTATCATACAAAAAAAAAAACACTGAACGTATCCTGCGCGACGCTTCCTTTCATCACCAAGAAAAATTTTCATTCTTGAAAAACGTTCGTCGTTGGGCGAAAACATTGGTTAGTTATTTTTAATCGTCCATCATCATCATCATCATCACATTCGAAAAAACGTTTTTATGTTATATTATATTTCACATTACTTTTTATTATATCATTATCCTTATCTTTCTTTAATTTTTTTTTTTTCTCTGTTTGTTGAGACACGTGCGATAGAGGCTTACGCACGCACGCACGTACGCACGCACGCATGCATGCATGCACACACACACACACACGCATGTACGCATGCACAAGTGGACGCATTTGAAATGCATATAATCGTCCTCGCGAGTATACGTTCGCTAATTAATATTTAATTTCGCGGATTATCACATTTTTGTCGCCCTGTGCCTGCCGGCATATCACCMCCCACCCACCCACCACCACCACCCCAATTTTAATATTTCTCCGCCATTATAAACAGCACCGCAACCAACAACCCTCATCTTTCTCAGATTTATTCTCTTTTTCTTTTTGTTATTTTTTAATACACGCTTCTTATTCTTCGTCTTCTTCACAGTGTTTCTTCTTCCTCCTTCTCCTCCTCCTCCTCCTCCTCCTCCTCACCATTATTCTACTTCTTTTTGATTTTTGTCTTGTTCTTTATTTATCATTCTTCCTATATTTTTTCTCTATTTTAATTAATCAATTAATTAATGAATTAATTTAACAGTTGCTCCGTGTCTCCGACCGATTGTGAATTACAATAATAATAATAATAATAATAATAATAATAATAATATATTTGGTATGGACGATACACACACACACACCACGTATTATTCACGATCTCGTTGTACCAACGTTTAAGTTTTATAATTTCTATGAGAACGTTTAAAAAGATAACGGTTTTGAACGAGACGGCCCAGAAACGACGGCCGAGAACGATGGATATTATGTAATGATCGATAAATTCACCGAAACGTTATAAATACGTTATAAATACATAGGCGTAGGTACAAGGTAACATTGCTCAGGTTAAATCCTCCCCCCCTCTCTCTCTCTTTACATTTTCTTTTCTTATTTTCCCGCTATCTCATTACGATAATGCTTCTTCGATAGATCTACGACGCGACAACTACAAACATTGCATATGTAATTAAACGTCGCGTATCATTTCGAAGTAGCATCTCTCCTCGTACGAACGAACTCGAGCGAAATGATTATTATTATTATTATTATTATTATTATTATTATTATTATTATTATTATTTAATATTGTTCATTTTATTGATGATTTATTTTTGTTCTTTTACATACTTCTTCTTATCGCCATTGATTTCTATCGAACGTTTGATCGCGTCGAGCGATAACAATACAAATCCGTTGATTTAACATATACCTTAAGATCATCTCCACCACGCGATACACGTTGAAAATATGCGGTAGTTTAGTATTAGTAGTAGTAATAATAATAATAGTAGTAGTAATAGTAGTAGTAGTAGTAGTAGTAGTAGTAGTAGTAGTAGTAGTAATAGTACAGTAGGTAGTAGTAGTAGTAGTAGTATTAGAGACCGATGGCGATAAGTGTGACGCGCGAAATCGAGATCAACGACCGAAAACAAGCGAGCGTGGCTTTGCTTTTCTAAACAACCAACGATAATAAATATAATATAAGTTGAAAATAACTAATCGGAAAATTGATTTTTTGTTTTTTTTTTTTTTTGTTGAGAAGATTTCTTGTCGCTTGATAATTTCAATCGTAATAATATCGATACTCGAACATCGCATTCGCTCGAGAGTTACGTTCATGAAATGTTTCCTCCTATTTTTGTTTGTTAGTGGTTGTTCATTTTCACGCATCTAATACATCAATGTATCATCGCACATTTTCGTATACTTTGATACTACATACTCTCTTTTACAAGTGATTCGAATTAGAAAAATCATCGAGACAAATTATGATTAGAGAAAAGAGAAATTAAAAAGGAATTGAATGAAATAATAATTTGTTAATTGTCGGAAGAAGACGAATCAATCGCGATGATTGTTTTGTTTAAAGTAAAGCACACACTACGAGCTTTTTTTTTTTCTTTTTGTTTTCTTTTCTATTTAAATTCTAGCGTCTATAAGAATCGTTGTATACCACTCCATGCTACGTAAGTACAGGATCGTGGACGGAGGCTCGAGGAACGATTGTGCGCGAAATAAAACTATCGCAAAAACTATAAAGCATCGTCTGCATTTATCGGTTAAATGTTAATCGCAGTGGTAACAACGTTTTTACTTCTTCTTCATCATCCTCTTCTACTTCTTCTTATTCTTCCATTTCTTCTTCATCATCATCATCTTCTCTTCCTCTCTTTCTCTTTTTTTTGTTTAATTAATTAGTTTATTAATATTAATCTCAGTGGTTCGACTAACCGTTAAAATTGGTTATTAAAAGCTCGCGTCAAAGCATTTTCTTCTTCGTCGTCGTCGTCTCGCGTGTAAATATAGAATTCGAAAATATTGTCCTCGCAATAATATCCAACGAGTGAAAACATAAATATAACGTTTTCACGTTTACGCGTCCAATACAGTGATGTGATATATGTATAGAGATATTTATCGAATATCGATGTTTCAAAGCTAATCGGTCGCATATCGGAGAGACACTTTCGCACCGTTCTTTTTTTTCTTTTTTTTTTTTTTCTTGCCATTCAATTGCAATTTGCAATGTATACATTTATCGATTAGACGTACGCATCCATGATCATTAATTATACCTTTCAAATTCCACAGTAGTAATAGTAATAGTAGCAGCAGCAGCAGCAGCAGTAGCACCACCTTCATCCTTCGTTATCAAATAACTACCATCCACCACCACCACCACCACCACCATCACCACACATTCTACCGCAAGTTTTTTTTGTCACTTTGTTTTGAAACTAATTGAAGACAATATAAGAGAAAGAAATCGCAAATGACCGCGACCACGCGTGTCACATACTTTCCAAGTAAAAACAATACGTCGTCCCAAAGCATATCGTAGATATGCATAGAGCATGGAAAAATAAACGATTCAAATGATCGAAACGAAATGTGATTTGCGACATAGAAGAGAATTTCGAGATCATTGTTCGAATACCGGGTTTTTTTTTTGGCCGTACCTTGGATCATCGAATCAGATACCTTCCACCTCGTCGTCTTCCTCATCTTCCTCGTATTCGTCGTACTCGTCGAGCCAAGAAGAACTTTCGTCGGAACGACGTCGACGACGATGCTGCTGCTGTTGCTGTTGCTGTTCTTGTTGATGATAATGATGTTGTGATAGAGAAGACGAAGAGGAAGACCGAGGAGGGAGCGATGGTGGTGGCGGCGGCGGCGGTGGTGGTGCTGTTGGTGGTGGTGGTGGTGCTGGCGGCAACGACGATGGCGATGTTGATGAAGGAAGAACAACGTCGTCGAGCATTGTCCGAGGATGATGGGTTGTTAAATTAGCGACGGTATTACCGGCGGCGGCATAGGCCGCAACGGCAGCGACTCAAGCCAAGGCGTAGGGATGGGTAGCGTGATGTCACAATCCCGGAGCCGCTGTCGCGACCGACGGGGGAGGAGGCGCACTGCTGGTACTCACGCTGGTCGCGTGATGGTACAAAGGACTTTGATAATATTCTTGATGATGGTGATTGGTCATATTATGCATGGGTCCTCCGCCGGTGTTCGAACCAGCGTGCATCCCGTTGTGATGATGATGACTCGGYGGCGCAGAATGCGCGTGCGGATGATGTGGCGAACTGAAGTTCGCATAACTCTGATGAATTTGATCGTACATCTTCATTTCTGGCGGTTTCGTGTCTTGAGCACCCGGTGAAGTTCCAGCGGTTGCACCGGGTAATAGCCTGGTAATGCTGAACGGATGACTGGCAGCCGTATAAGGTGGCTCTTGCTTTAAGCTACCTGCCATACCATGATGAAGAGCCGCTGGATCAGACAACAAGTGAGGATGAAGGGTACGACTGACCATAGCCGTAAGCTCGTCGTGAGTCGTACCGAGATCTGGTCCTAATAGTCCACCGATATCGTTGGTGTCGCCTTTCAAAGCAGCGTGATGCTGATGAAGACCGGCCGAATGATGGTGATGATGAGACGAGACCAAAGAATGAAGATCTTTGTCGTCTTGTTGCTGAGGAGCATGATGAAGGGACGAAGGCGTCTTCTTACCCCCATGTCCGAGATCGTGAGAATTAGGACTGTTGTGTCCGGCGGCGGCTGCAGCAGCGGCTGCAGCAGCTGCGGCGGCGGCAGCGACCGCAGCACCCGTCGTGTGGTGTTGTTGATGTTGTTGATGTTTGTTATTCTGCCTCGTCAACTCTTTCTTTTCGTCTTTGAACCTTTTTTGACGGCGCAAGTAACAACCATTCTCGAACATGTTACCACTCTCCGGATGAAGCGTCCAGAAGGAACCTTTGCCTGGCTTATCGGGCGTTCGCGGTACTTTAACGAAACAATCGTTAAAGCTTAACGAATGTCTTATCGAATTTTGCCATCTTTGTTGATTTTGCCGATAGAACGGGAACAAATCCATGATGAATTGATAAATCTCTGAGAGCGTGAGCATTTTGGTCGGCGCGTTTTGTATTGCCATGGTGATCAAACTAATGTAAGAATAAGGCGGTTTCGCGTGCGTGTAACTTCTTCGATAAGATTTGTCTGTGCGTGCACGCTGAAGGGCAGAATTAGGAGAATCTGGTTCTGCTAACGATAATGGATCTCTGCTTACAGCGGTACCACCTCCCGGCGTTAAAGGACCATAACCAACGGCACTCATGCAAGCGCCTCCGCCACCCATTGACGTGCCACCATAACCACCCATTCCACCGCCTCCCATCGAAGCCATCCCCATGGCCGAGCTCATTGTGCTCATATTGAATCCACCGGCTCCTTGAGGACTGCAACTCGGACCAACTCCAACGCCCATCGACATTCCCATTGACACGCAACCCATAGAATTGATCGAGCTGTATGTGGGTGCCATGCTGCCCATGCTGGACATCGCGGCGCTCGTCATGGCACCACCGAGACTACCAGCCTCGCTATACAGCTTTTGCGACTGGAGCATTGTCATAGAGCTCACCGGTGCCGGGGTGGGCTGTTGTCGAGACGTCAAGCGGGAATCATGAAAACCTCGGTACCACGACTGCTGATAATCCGGTGACCCCTTAATCTTATATCCTCCCGTACTTCCTTCACTTTAATCCACGCGTCTCTCTCTCTCTCTCTCTCTCTCTTTTTCTCACGCTCTCACTGGCACGCCTTCAATTTCTTTTTATAGAAGAATTTGTAAACCTACACTCTGTGTTTTGTTTTCCTTTTCTCTTCCTGTTTGTCCTTATTTCTTGAGATTACACCAAAAACTCACTATATTTCTTTACCAGCACTGAAAATCTTATATCCTCGTGTCCTCGCACTTGTATAAAATTTCAGTGATAATTTATCAAAATTAACAATTATTCTTGCACTTAGTTTTTCTCGAATGAAAGAATGTATGCACGCGTCCGTCGGGGGGGGGGGTCAGCACGAAGAAAACACTCGATGATACACGCAGTGTATGTTTGTCGTTGTCTCACGCGCCACGCGGGCTGATCTCGGATATAATTTCTAATTAAAATAGTTGTCCTGACAACCGACACAATACTTATAAACACTTACGCGACTGATACTACCGACGACAGCAGTGATACTGACGGTGACGATGGACAATAAAAACAACAACACAACAATCAACAGCGGCAGCGACAGCGGCAATAATAACAATAACAACAACAATAATATAACAATGATAACAACACGACGATGACGATGACGACGACGACGACGATGACGACGACGTCGACGACGAGGATGTCGACGGTGGCGGCGACACTAGCCGTTCGTCGCTAAGAAGCGCGCTCGATTGTTTAAATTGTGCCCTGTATAATATGCCACCTCACCTCTACACTAGTCTCTAGCTCTGTATGCCGTATGGATGGAGGCCGGTTAGCGAGTGTAGTCCGCTACTCTTGACTCAGCCAAGACTTGTTCAAACACACCCCCCACCCTGTACAATATGGCGCCGCGCCCGGTCGTTCTATTTTAACCAATGGTAATAATTTCATCCCCACCCTAGTATTAATCCAACCAATCGTAGTAGGTAGTCTCTCGTGCCAGTGGCGTGGCCGTAGCAGCGAGTTTCAAGATGCGATGAATCGTGCTCGTGACACGACTCTCCCCCTTCTCTCCCCCTTCTCTCCCTTTATCGTCTCTCTTTCTGTTTCCCTTACAAAGCAGCGCAAGCGCCGTATCTTCGGGTACTCTGAAATGATCCGAAGGCCGCTTGCGCAATCTCTCTCCTCTCTCTTGGCTGATAAGCGCCGCCGTCTACGGCGGGTCGGGTCGGGCGTCGGGTCGGCTCGAGCGTCGGGACGACCACGTTCTCGCGTTCCTTTCTGCTTCCATATTATATATATATATATATATATATATATATATACATACATATATTCCTTCCTTTCTTCCTTTCTTTCTTCCTTCCTTTCTTCCTTCCTTCCTTCTTTCACTCTCGTTCTGTTCTCTTCTTTCCCCGACCTTTGCACCCTCCGCTCGGCCCCTCTCACCCCCTTACGACGACCGATCCTCCACGCGTTTTTACACCTATCTCGACCTTTCTAATCGTCGCCTCTTTTTTTTTATTTATTTTTTTATTTTTATCTCGCTACGTTTTTTTTACCTTCCTTTTTATTCATCATCACCTTCTCCTTCTTCACGATAGCTTTCCGATGTCCACCATCAGCTTGATACTTTTTTCTTCTTATCCTTTTTTTACATCTTATCGGAATTTATTTCTATTTATTTTTATTTAATTTTTTTCTTTTCCTAAGGTGTACCCTCTTTTTTCGTGCGGTGTTTTTCAATTTCTTTGGGAGGTGCAAACAAGGATGTTATCTAATCGCTGAAGGACTAAACATAAGCTGAATTTCGATTTCTTTTTCCTATCGGAACGAGGTATTTCGATCAATCCTACATAGACACGCATAGATACATATATATATATATATATATGTTTCTTTTCTCATATTTATTTTTTATCATTTCAAATGTTATTAATATATTTGTTAACAAACAACTTGATCTTGTCGTAGGCCAGCTATAAATATTTGAACGCAAGATCGATCCTCATTCAACAACTCTTTTTATTTGTTATTTAAAAAAAAAAGAACTACTTGTTAATATTTATATATTTACCATTTGTACATTTTAGTTTTTTTTATTCGAAATGTAAAGAACGGATTTTTGTACAGTGTACAGTGTACTGCTATTACGTATAAATTATTTATCCTCAAATTGCGATGATTGTAAAATTAAATAATGACCCATCAACAATAAATTACGATTTAGTTTTGATTATCTATATCCATAATCAATTACGAATAAATGAACGCAATGTTTAACACCCAATAATTGTCCAACAAGTATGGCATTTAGAAAATAATTTAACGAATCATGTATTTCTTAATTTTGGGGTTTAAATAATAAACAATTAAATTGATTTATTTGATATATCAGTCTGGCCAAACATATGCACGTGCATGTATTATTTATTTATTTATTTATTTATTTATTTATCTATATTAAAACAATATGAATAAATCAACGAATCCGCCGGCTATCGATGATGATCGACGATTAATTATTCTTTACTTTTTCTATTAATCTATTTATGCTAATATACACGAATAATATTTTTCTTTTCTCTTTTTTTATATATATATATATATATAAAACGAAACTAATGCATATAAATATTTTCTTTGTAGTTGTGTTAACTTGTGTTGGATTATTATTAATATGAAAAAAAAAAATAAAAACACCAAGATTGTCTCTTTAAATGATTACTCACATCATTAGTCATATGTACCGTTACGTTCAAAGTCTTTCTATGGTATTTTTCTTCTAATTCTCATAGACTTAGAAATGTACAAATTTGTTTACAATTTTCAAACTTATGTTGCAAATTTATTTCAATACAATAATAATAGAAACGTCAAAAGTGAGCGTTTATTTTTGCATGTAATTTAGCGTTAAATAGATACAATGTTGAAAGTTGACTTTATTTTTTAAGAAGTAAGATACGTGTCGATGTAATATATCACGCAATGAGGGTGAGGGGCTGAGGGGGTGAGGATTTAGGGAAGAAGAAGAAGAAGGGAAATATCGTTGAAAAGTCGAGCGACGAATTGAAGGCACACAACTCGATGATTCGAGCGTTTAGAGTCGGCTAATACTTTACTCGAGAGATTCGTAAACACGCATAGTATATAGGTATAGAAGCATTCACGAACGAACGAACGAACGAACGAACGACGAGCTGCACGTTACAACGTTAGATCCAAGCACCCACCTGTACCGGGGTCTTTATCGAGCCACGAATTGTTTGCGGAATGAAAATATTGTCCCTGTAAACAAGTAGCTACAATGTGCCGGGCAAAGCATTCTACGTTATAACAAATCGTACCCCTCGTACCACCTCGTCCCCGTCTGGATACAAGTGCGCAATCGAGATCTGTTTGTCTCGGTTAGTCTCGGTCCTTAATCTACGATTAAATAACGATTTGCTATTTGACCTAGATTACCGATATCGCGGACTCGATCGATTTGTCAAACGGCCGCTTTTAACCGTAGATATACTACGATTATACGCGCTCGCGCGAGTACAAGCGCGGCGACAGACACTCGTCGCATTCTTTTTTTTTTTTACCTTTGCTCAAGTTAAGCTTTGCATTTTTCTTTCTTCTTCTTCTTCTTCTTCTTCTTTTTTTATTTTCTTTTTTGTTACACCTGTTATTTTACCGCACATCATATTCGAATATCTTCTTATACCCATTTCAAAAATTTACAAGAATCCTGGCTATTATGGGAAAAACGAATGATTGAGAAGAGATGGGAAAACCGATGAGAAAAAGAGGAAGAAAAAAAGGTTATTTCTGATTATTGACCATAATAAAAAAAAAAAAAAAGTGTTTGGTCATTTTAAAAACAAATAGAATAGAGTAGAGACGACGAAGACGGAATAGGGAGAATTCGAAGCGACGGTAAATCGTGATTTACTCAAAAGACTCGACACTACGTCTTACCTGACCCTTCTACGTGTGTGGTCGTCTTCTCTTCATCCCTTTCTTTGTATTATTAACACCAATGATGATGATTCTTTCTCACATATAGAATCTATAGTTATATGTATATATATATCTTCTTTTGTAATATCATTCTATTTTCGTAAAATAATATTTTTATTTACTTTTCTTCAGTTTTTTACATTTCTATGGAATTTATCCAACAAAGGAAACAGAACCCGAAATAATAATCTATTCGAAATAAAATATATTATATAGAATCATAAAAAAAATAATGTTACTAATTTTTTAAAGTAAAAAAAAAAAATATATATCTCCCAGATGTTATTTTTTATAACGTGACAAGGTATACAATATTTGATTATTATTTTATTTATTATTATTATTATTATTATTATAAGTTTGAGAAGTGAAATTATATTATTTTAACAGAATTGCCCTCTTTCCCAAAAACACAAGGCCCTGTTGTATATCTCAAAAGTGGACATGTGATTTTCTTTGGCATCAAAAAAAATTGACTTTCTTGACAGCACTTCTATGGTATTCTGTTGACGTTAAAGCAACAAATCCTAAAAGAAAAAAATCGCTAACACACACACACACTACCCATCATAATAGACCAAAGTAGAGTAAAGCTTAACGATAAAACGACAGGTAGATGTGTCAGCGTTCTGGTCCACATTTCTTCTCGCGAAAGTTCAACTTTATTTTTCTAACACTGACCTCCCCCCCAAAAATCCACCCACCTTCCCTAAACCAGCGTAGATTTATTGCCTTTAGCAATAATTCAAAAATACAAATAAACTATCAACGTACATACGTACGTACATATTATTTTGTGTAATATTCTGATTATCATTTTAATATTTAATTTGCTTATCAACGAAACGAAATCGCTGCTTTTTTTTTGTCATTCGTATTAAGTAAATATATTACAGTAATACACACACACACACACACATTTAAAAATATAAATTTACATTATATAAACGAGTAAACAATTTCAATAAATATATTTATCATTTCTAATTGTATTTATTATTTTTATTGAATACTTTTTAATTGAAACACAATTTTCATATTATTTGGGAAATGATTGAATTGTTAAAACGTTCATTTTAAATTGTTAATATTCGTATATAAA